TATCAATAATTTTTTTTTTTATTTGTTTTGCTATTAAAAAAAATATTTTTTTTTTTATTAAAAAAAGGAAAGAAAAAAAAAAAAGAAAAAAAAAAAAACCTTTTTCTAGACGTAACTTGCTCGTCTTGCTTATACTCGAATTCTTAAAATGTTGACCCATTTTTTTTTTTTTTTTTTTTAAAAAAAATATATATATATATATGTATGTATGTAAGTCATTTCTGCGGTGATTTTCACGATTTTTTTTTTTTTTGATAATCAAAAGATGGAAAAAATTTAACTGAAAATTTTTACCTTTTTTTTCAATAAAAATAAATTATGATTAAATTTATAAGGTCGAAACATATTTCGAGATCGAATTTACATTCTAATTTAAGAGAATATCGTTACATAAATTCTTCGATATCGTTTAAAAGTTGTAATATAATTAAAAGGTTAGAAAACAAAACTACAGTGCAATTCACCAAAACTAGTGAATTTTCACCTGTTCAGACAATTGCATGTAATAATTATTCTACAGCGACAGAACATGTTTCTGTTTCGTCCGTTTCTTCCAAATTAAACTATATTTCTCCAGATCCGTTAAACATAAATAGTCAATTAGTAATTCTTCCCCAGCCTCGCTATACTCCAAGAGAAGCGGGAAAAATACATTCCGGTGCCTTTTCAGAACACCTCGCTGTTTTACGAGCGTGCTTAAAAATTGGTGAAATAGAACGCGCCAGGCATATTTTATCCAGTTTAAATAAACAATGTACAAACGATGCGAAGCAATATCTAGACATAAAGTTGCATAACGAGTTTATCGAAGCTTACTTGGAAGCAAAACCACCTAGAATCAATGAAGCTTTACAGTGGTTCGATCAGTTGAATTATCATGGACTAACCCCCGACTTGGCAACGTTTTCCATTTTAATAAGGGGTTATCTGAGGTATGAAATAAGTAAATGTATTCTTGATCAAATATTTAAATTACTTTCAAACTTATTATTGTAACTTAATATTAAGACTGGACTTAGATTTGCTCGGATATTCGATGCTAAATGTTTTGGTAAAAGAAATTGAGGAAGGTGGATACTCATTTGAACAATTAATTGAAAGTAATTTATTATCCGACAAAGAAACTGAAAAAGTATTACATGTAAGTTTGTCTTCAAATAATAATAATAATAATAATAATAAACTTAGTCGTAAAAAATTTTTTTATTGTAGTTATTACGAACAGATCCAGAATCAAATACAGCATCAAAAGAACTTTTAAAAAAAATTGAAAATGTTATTGAGAATCAGAATCCTGTTTTAAATGAAGAATTAAGTTTAGATGAGCCGGTTCCTACAAAGGTATGATTTAATCCATTTAATTAAAATTAATTCATTTTATATAATTTATAATGATAATATTTAACATCAAACGTCAAAACCTTAGTCGTTTGGAGTAAAAATTATGAAAAATGCTCTTTTAGCCATTAAGGAAAGAGAATTAGATCTAGTTAAGCGACAAATAAAATTGGAAGAGAATGCATTACAAGCTGCTATGGGACGTTGGAAACATGAAAACGAGCAGCGTAATCGAAAGGACAAACTTGCTGGTTTACAAAAGAATGTATTGAAAAAATCGATGTGGATGTGGCACGAAAAGTTAACCCCTTTAATTCAAGAGGAATTGGAGAGATGTAAAAACAAGGAAACATTACTAACCGGTAATATTGAAACATTTCTACCAATATCTTGAAATTTACAACTGAACTAAAAGAAAATCATTTTAAATATGCACAAAAATAAAATAAAAAAAAAGATAAGGAACGCGCCAGTTATGGACCATTTTTGCAATTATTAAATGCCGAAAAACTTTCAGCTATTACAATATTGGAATTATTGCGTCAACATGGTGTAGGAGGAGTTATTGAAGGAATGAAAACCACCCGCGCTGTGCTTTCGATTGGCAAAGCTGTTGAGAATGAATATAATTCAGAACAATTAAAGAAGAAACAAAATCGCAATAGCGCGGTATAATATGCATGTTTATAGTGATGCATAGATGTATATTAATATATATAACTTAATAATTTCTTATTGTATGTTCAATTAAATTTTCTATAGTTTAAAAAAGATTTAAATGTCCATGAGCTTTTTTCATCCGGAAAACTTTTCAATATGGCAATCCGTCGAGAAGCGGCAAAAATTGAGACAAAAGATATGGAAACGAATTGGAATCCGGAATGGCCAATAACCGTCAGAGCCAAAGTAATATCGATTAAGTATTCAAATGGTCTTCTATCAAGCTATACCTTATATCTGATGTTTATTCTTTAACTTTAACTTTTAAAGGTTGGTTCTATCTTAGCTTCTATGTTGTTGGAATGCGCAAATATTCCAACTACTACTATTAATCATGAAACAAACGAGGAAATGTGAGTATTAATGAAATATATGATTGATTAAGATAAAAGTATATTTATATATATCTTTCAAAATCGTTTAGTTGTATGGAAGCACCCGCTTTCTATCATTCATATATTCAACACAGAGGAAAAAGGATTGGTGTTATTAAGCTTAACCCACAATTAATTCAATATTTGTCAAAAGAACCTGTTAGAGATAGTGTACATCCACGAATGTTACCAATGTTAGTACATCCAAGGCCTTGGTTGACTTTTAATAGTGGTGGATATCTTACATCCCCAAGTATGAATTTAATTATATCTGTTATTTGCTCTTCAAGATATTCGAAAAAAAACGTGGATTGAGATTGGGATTAAACTTCGACGCATTATTGAAATTTGTTTATTTCAATCTTACTCATGGAGTAAATCTCAATCACAATCACGTATTTTGAGAAGACCCTCACTATTATAAGTCTTAACTTGCTTATCTAATTATTTTTAATACGACTTTTTTCAGCATATGCCATGAGAGCAAAAGATTGTCCCGAACAGTTAGCTTATCTGCAAAAAGCATCGGAAGAAGGATACTTGGACCGTGTCTTCGCAGGTTTGGATGTTCTGGGATCCACGTGTTGGGTAGTCAATAAGAAAGTATATAAAATTGTTTTAGAAGTTTGGAATAAAGGAGAGGCATTAGGCAAAATACCACCAGCCGAAATAGATTTAAAGGCTCCTGCTAAACCTGAAAATTATGAGACTGAGATGCATGCAAAAGTAAAATGGTTTAAAGAGTGTAGAGCAATTTCTCGTAAAATAAGTAATAACCATTCTGAAAGATGTACAGCAAATTATAAAGTCGATATTGCTGGTGCCGTAAGTAAAGCAAATATTTTGTAAGGTGGACTTGAATAATATAACTAATAAGCAAAATTCTGTTATAGTTTTTAAATGAAACTATGTATTTTCCTCATAGTCTTGACTTCCGAGGTCGTGCATATCCGATACCACCACTGTTTAATCACTTAGGAAATGATTTGTGTAGAGGCCTGTTGCTGTTCAAAGAAGCCAAACCATTAGGTAAAAATGGGTTGAATTGGCTCAAGATTCAAATTGCCAATCTAGTTGGGTTTGACAAAGCTTCTTTCGAAGACCGTATAAAATTTACAAACGATCACATTGAAGATGTAAAGGATTCTGCTATAAATCCTCTCAATGGTAAATGCTGGTGGAAAGAAGCCGAGGATCCTTGGCAATGTTTGGCAGCATGTTTTGAATTACATGAAGCATTGGAATCTTCAGATCCGGCAAAACATCTATCACAGATTCCGATACATCAAGATGGTACATGTAATGGATTACAACATTATGCAGCACTTGGTGGAGATTTGGAAGG